AAAAGTAATTAATATATTACCTGGCACATACTAAATTATCCAGTAAAAGTTAGATGTCATTGTAGGCCTTTATCTTCTGCAGGTCTGAGACTCTCAAATGGAGTCTTTTACAGTAAAGCAGAAGAATCTTTTACTTATTAAAAGGGGGTGTAGATATTTAAAGGTTCACACTGACAGAGCTTTAAACCCTTCTGATTTGCTGGTGGTCCCTAAATTCTCCACAAATCTAGCCATTTTTCTAACTCACCAGCTATTGCTATTAGTTTTTAATTTCTTGAACACATATTAAAATTAACCTATATTCTAGAAAACCAAAGAAAAAAATTTTTGGAATTCTTTTTTTTTTTTTGTCCAATTTTCAGCCCTTACAAGTTTCAAGACATTGTTTATTATTATTTAAATGTTTCTCATTCCCATTGTCTCTGTGTCATTCCAGGTTAGCCAAAAATATATATATATATATTTTTCAGAATGATATATATATGCCTCTTTTATAGCTTAAGAACAATTTAGTACACACGTTAAGGGGAATATGGTACAGCCAGATAAACTTTTCCTAATGTCTCCCTTTACTTTGAGCTTGCATCTGTGAAAACCATAATTAAAGCTTCCTAATAGCTTTCCTTCTAATCATGTTTCAAGTTGTGTAAATTTTCAAAAAAAAAGTCCAATGGACTCAAACATTTGCTCTATAAAAGGTGACTTTTTGAAGGTAAGATGGGTCTAATTTAATTATTTTTATAGCAGAATTATGGTGATGAAGTCTATATAATTTTGTTTTTCTATGTTTGAAGTCATACAATAATATAAAAACCATTTTCAATCATGAGCCTTTTGCTTCACATGTCAGAATTACTTGCCAGAATAAGAAACTTCTATCCGTATGAAAACACCTAAGTCAAAAGTAAAGTTAATGGTATTTGGAAACTTCATTTAGAATGAGACCACAGAAATTACCTATAAACGTATACAGTTTTAAAAGCATACTTTATAAATACCACCATCATTAAAACAAGTGTACATGCTTTAAATGGAGGAGAAACACATCTGCCTCTCTTTTTGCCTTGACCTTTAAAAAGAAATTTATTTTTCAAGGATTACAATAAGATCAAGTATAGAATCATTATTTTGTTTCAATCATTTTTAAGAGACGGCTGGAAATAATACCAACAGTCAAAAATCAAAATTAAGTTAGTCATGATGCAACTACATCCAGAAACCACTGAATAACTTGAACCCTTAGTTCATGTGTTCATTCACTTACTAAAAGCATTTAAATATCTCCTTCTACATATCCTACAATGTAAAGATGAATGTGATGGGATGTTTGCCCTTAAGGAGTTTACCACTCCATAGGGAAGAAAAGTGTGTAACCAAAACACTAAGGTGCAATGTGCTGAGTATAAGTACATACATGTATGAGAGTGGGAGTACATTAGAGTGATTGGCAGATATGGAGATTATCCCTTCTTCCTGCAGAAAGCAAAAGCCAGGTCAATATAGTTACTGGATTCCAGATTAATCTGAGGAACTAAAATGATTTTAATTTGACTCACATTCAAACTGTAACCTTAAATTTTGATTGTAATGGTTTAATTAACGTGGAACGTTACAGAACATCTGACTACATAAAGTGCTATTCTTAGTAATTCCTACATGTTTTTATTGAGATTTCCCCCAGTTCTTACCTGACTTCCTTTAGCCTTTGGTGTTCCTGCCACCACACTTGCTTGTGTTGTTTTATCAGTGTTTGTTCTTTGTATGTCTTTGAAGTCTGCACTGCTTTTCTGATCTAGATTTAGAGGAACAAAAGAGGAGCAACTTCAAAGCTTATTCATGTTTACCACAACAGAACTGTTTAATCGGCATTTTCTAAGTTACTTACTCTTTTTCAGTCCTTGTTAGTGCATCTTCTAACACAAAATCTACCTAAAATAAGTGCTATGTTAAAAAGCAGGGAGGGGGAAGAGAAAATGGTTTGGAATACTGACTGACTTAAGAACTGTTTTGAAAGTATTTGATGAAGAGAAATGCAGTCATTCTATTTTCCATACATACAATATAAAATGCTTTGATTCATACAACCCCAGAAAAACTACAAGAGTTTTCCATATATTTCTTCCCTTTTGAACACATCTTTTCTGCCAGGCATAATGGGCATCATTATTCCCATTTTATAGATGAGGACACTGAAGGTAAGAGATGTTAAAAGACTTGGTCAAGATCATAAAGCTCATAAACATCAAAGTCACAGAACCTTGGTGTTTGGATTGGTTTTTATCTTCTCCCTCAGCACAGGATGGGAAAGATTCACTGGATGAGTTGGTAGGAGGCCTGGCTTTAGTCCCACTGTCAATGCACTTACTAGAAATATGACCTCGAATGCGCAATTTTAATCTTTCAACTCCATGACTTAGTAAATAAATTTTTTTTTAATTTAGGCAAATACTTATTTGAAGGTACTTAACAAAGAAACAGTGAAAAATCATTTATCATTAAAACAAAATTTTCAACTAAATTTAATTTTTCCCCAAATTTTATGACTGTTACAAATGTAGCACATAACTAGTGCTTTTTGGTTTCTGCAGACAAATTCTGTCAGGCCTGGGTCTGCTTGCCTGAGATCCATTCCTGGCCATCTCCTGATCTGCTCCACATCACAGAGCCCAAGGACTAGCCCCACCTCTGCCTTCTCTATTCTGACAGGGGTCTCCAGGAGCATCTGCGTATTGTCTGTTCCTCCAACTTTTGTCTGGTCAGTTCCAATGAGGTTCCAACTATCTCTAGGTAACCTCAGCCCAGGGGATGTGGTACAGCCTTGCTTCTTCTTTATGTCCCTGTGACCTATGGATGGCAGTGACTTCCTGTGGTTATTAATTTCTATATTGCCTCACAGTCCTCCGTTTTCCTTCTCAGCTCTGTCACCTGCATAACCATTTTTCTACATTAAAGACCCCTCCACTCTAAATCCTCAAGTGGTGTCTGTTTCCTGGTTAGATTCTGACTTGTACTCATTTGTATTCTGAACTCGTGTGTTCTACTTAATCCCTTTAAACATCTACAAAAATGTAAATCAGAAACTTGATGAAATACACATATTTTGTAATTTCTCTGCTACTAGAGTACACAGCACCCTGAAAACTTTAAAAGATCAATACTGAAGATATAAAAACTTAAGAAGTCAAATTCTCAAAAGTAATCTTTATAATGCATGTTATTTCTAGCTGTCATTCACTGATTACTTTAACCTTGAGTTTATCTGCTGTTCTGGTTATTAATTCAAAATTAGAAGTAAAAGAAAACAAATTAACCAAAGATTGCTTTAAAAAAACACAAAGCCAAAGTCAAATCTTATCGTCAGGAGGTCTCAAGAGTGCTATAATTATGAAATTTCAGAGGAAAGTACATTTAAGTAAGTACAGGACACTGCAGAAAAACATTCAGCAGTCTCTATTTTACCTACTGAAAAAATTAAAGTACACAGTATTTCTAAAATCTGACACTCTAGTGTATGCTTTAAAACACCTAAAACTCATTTCAACTATTTACTATCTATAGTCTCTAAAGTTTTTTTAAAGTGTCTGTGCAACAGACACAACTTTCAAAATTAGATTTCTTTGACATATTTGGTCCATGGTGTACAAAAAAAAATTAAAACACATTGGTGGAAGATGTGAACACATTTTTATAGCTTTAAAAAGATCAATGCTGTTGCCTTTGAGTCCAGGAAAAGACCGATTAAGTAGACCATAAAAGTCAAAATAAAGCTACTTTTTTTCACTAGACATCGCGGTGAAGCCTGCGGTGGCA